ATTACAGCTATTTGAATCAGCTGTCCCCAGACATCTGGCATTCCATCTTGGTGGGGCAGGCAGTGGAGGAGGAGGCAGAGAAGGAGGAGCAGGCTAGATAATGGCAGGGGAATGTTCCTATTGAGGAATAGCACCTTACCCCAGCTGGAGTACCGCAATGCCCTTTCAGCTAACTTTTAAGGATAACTGCCCTGTGGAGCTCAAGCAGAGCAAGTCTTACAGCCATATGACCAGGAGGCAGGGCAGTGTCCCCAAAGCATGGCTCAATGGGCACTCAGTGAATGTGGCCTTGGGTAGAATGAATTAAATCTACACCCTGGAATTTACTTCCCTGAACCTGTTTTCCTGCCTGTGAAGTGGGCCTGATGATAGCACCTTGTGGGATTGTTTTATGGATGCAATGTAATGATGAAGGGTGAGTGAACATTTTGAACTCTAAAGCATCACACAATTGTCAGGGCTGAGACTAAGAAGCTTCCCTTCTTCCCTTCTTCTTTTTTTTTTTTTTTTTTTTTTTTTTTTTGAGATGGAGTTTCACACTGTAGCCTGGGCTAGAGTGCAGTGGCATGATCTCAGCTCACTGCAACCTCTGCCTCCCGGGTTCAAGTGATTCTTCTGCCTCAGCCTCCCAAGTAGCTGGGATTACAGGCACCCACGACCAAGTCCAGAAGCTTCTCTGGCTATAAAATAATGCCATTTTTCTCACTGACATTATTTTATTCAAAAAGATAGACGTGTAAGTTGTAGCAATGAACATATCTTCTGATCCAGGAGAATCAACAAAACTATTTTTTATTTTGTGTGGAAAAAACGCATTCTGTATATTTCCAAATTGAGCCTATTATAAAGCAGGATGCTTACCTCCATTCTGCAAACCACTATCTCTTGCAAATGAGGAGAAGACCAGAAATGAAGTGACTCTTCCACAGTCTCATGTGGAGTTAGTGACAGAGCTGGGCCTGGAACCAGCCTAGTCCTCATCTCACTTGACTGTATATATACATGCACATGCATGCATTCATGCATGTACACATTCTACCTCTGCCACCAGTTCCACTGAATGCAACAGAGATGACTATGACCCTTGCAGACAGCCAGCCTTGCAAAGGTGAGGATTATATGCAAGTAGGCAGCAAGTTTAGGCCCAGAGAAGACTTGTGATTGTCCCTTAGGAAACCCTAGTTCCTGACATCACATGAGACCATCTAATCCCCAGAGCAGGTCTTTTTCTCTCTACTGAGATGTGTGTTACCTCTTTGGAGCACCACCTCCAGTGACAGCTAAACTTTTCCAGAATGTCCCAGACCCCAGTGACAAGCTGGTATGCTCCAAATATAGGAGGCAAAATCAGTTGGGATGACATGGGCGCAGACCTCATTCTGTAAGAAGCTGATTCAGCAAGGTGCACAGTTCTTTCAGCACTCTCAACTCTCACCTGTCTTTAACTCATTTTTGTATTGCTTTCCACCCTAATTGGCTGGTGTTCAGCTTTCCCTACTCTGTGGTCGAGGGATCTGGTGCCGAGCAATCTAATCATTCTGGTGCCAACACATAAGTCATCTACTTATTTGCATATCGAAATCACCATTTAACATAAAATACAGGGAAGGTCACTTATCGGCCACTGAGACATCCAAGAAAGTGTATGGAGTGAGCGTTTTCATCACAAGTTCCAAGGACTTCAGGCATTTCAGACTTTCATTAACTTTATTGATTCTTTTGTCAATAAAGAAAAGAAATGAGAAATTATTTTAAAATAGGGCTGGGAGGCAGGCTTTTAAAGATAAAAATTACAGAATGAGAGTCCTCTAAATTCCTGGGGCGTCTGTCTTTTCCTTCTTGTCCTTAATAATAATTAAAGAAGAAAAAATAAAAGCCCTGAACAAATGCCTGTGATGTGAGGGTAGCTGAGGCTGGAGGACCCAGTATAGTGCACAAAGCACAAATATCGACCCAACCTCTACAGGAGCCCCAGCCTGAAATAAATCCTCTGACACTCAGAAGTAAAGAATGGTCCTTTCGTCCTTTCTTTACTGTCGGTGTAAGTAGATGGAAGTGTAATTCAAAAGGGAGAATAATCTCCAAATCATGCACGTTTGCCTTTGGAAGGTGATGTTTTTATACTTAAGTGTGGGTTGTTACAGCCCTGATGTCTCTCTCCTGAACTTTAGGCACAAATAACTGCCAACTGGATACCTCCCCTCTCATAAGCCTCCCAAACTCAGCACATCTAGAACAGAACATACTATTTCCCACCCAAGCTTCTTACCTTACTGTTGAGGCAGCATCTGTGGTGGTACTTTTTATTACCAGGACTCAGGGTGCCATGCCAGGAGCCTGGCTGTTCTCTCTACCTCTTCCCCACCTTCTCCTCTCTAGACAACCTAGTCCGCAATCCTCCTAGTAGCTCTCAAATCTGCCAATTTCTCAGACTCTACTGCCACTCCCCTAATCCAGGATTCCAGGTCCTCGCCCTCATCAGGATTTCTGGAGCAGCCTTCTAGCCATTTTTCTCTTCCCTTCCAGTCCACATCCCTCACTGCCATCAAAGCTCACTTCACACTTCACAACCCAGCTTAAAACCTTCCACCAACACCTGGCAGCCGACAATGTGTGGTCTAGGTTCCCTGAAGCCTGTGTGCAAGGCTCTTTGTGGTCAGCCTGTCCCACCTACCTCCCCAGCCACACCTCCTCCTTGATATCAGGCTCCAGAACACAGCTGAGGACCCTTCATTGTCCTCAACACAGTAGGCTGCCCCAGTTCTGTTGCTTTGCCTGAGCATGCATCCCACTGGCCTTCACCTCGCTGATTCCTACCTGAATCAAGGCTCGACTCAGATGTCACCTCCTCTGAGAAGCCTTCTCTGCTCTTCCCCATCTCCTCAAGGATAGGTGAGGTGTCCGCCTCTGTGCTCCCTCAACAGCCAGTATTCACCTCTATCTTATCAGTAGATGTTTTTTGAGTTGTAATTTTAATCACATTGTGTGCCAGATTGTAATAAAGTTGTATCTGAGTCCATGTCAACTTTCCACATTAGCCTGTAAGTCACTAATACTCAAGAACCATATTTTAGTCATTTTTTCCCCATGTCACCTCCAGCGGTCCCTGGCATATAGCAGGTGTCCCATAAATATTGGTTGAATGTAATTGAAATAGTCAATTCACTCTTCTGTTAAAGGGACATAATTGGATAAGGCTGCAGTTCTGGCTCCGGAAAGCTGGTACAATTATGGCCACTTCTTAGCCTGCTTCTGTTCTCAGCTGCTTCCTGCTCCACTCTGCAACTGGGCTGCGGCCTTTAGTCCATCCCAAATGCAGTGTGAGGCTTAAGTAGTGCAGTTCTCTTCTCCAAATGTACTCTTTCACACCTTTCCTGGCTTTTGCTCACTTAACCATTGTATTTTGGTCTTCCACATGTGTGAGTCACTGAGCTGAGATGACGAGGAGCCTCAGGCTGTGGCACATTGGAAATGGTTGAGTTTCCAGGTCCTCACCCTCATCAGGTTTTCTGTAGCAGCCTCCTAACCATTTTCTCTTCCCTTCCAGTCCGCATTCCTCTGGGGAAGAGAGAACTGTAAGGGACATGTGATGGCTACCTTCACATATTTAAAGGGCTGCCTTAAAGAGAAAAGAGTAGAATTTTCTGCTCTGGACAGAAAATTACAGAAAGTCCAACTTCAACTGGCTTTAATAATAAAGAGGATTTATTGGCTGAGGTCCAAGGAAGTCCAGAGACAAAGTGGAAACCAGACAACGCTCAGCCAGGGCTCTGCCTGCTTCCTGCAGTTGTCTTGGCTCCACCCTTTCTCTACCCATTGGCTTCACCCTTAGGCTGCCAGAAGAATGGCTGCAACAATTTGAGGTCAGAGCCACATACAACAATACTGGAGGAAGAGAAGCTATAACTAAATAACTAGGATTCTGTTTTCCTATACGTTTCTAGCAAACTTCCCTTGTGTTTTATTGTATTACATTGGATCACATTCTTATATCTGAGACAATCCCATTGGTTGGGAAATGTCATGCACTGGTTGGCTTAGGTCTGGTGTCCCAAAGAGCCAGGGGTTCTGGTCAGCTCCCATTGAAGTATGTGGGCTGCCTGGAAGAGGGCTGGATACCTAAGTGAAAACCAGGGTATGGAGTTAGGAGGAGGAAGATGGCTCAATGCCCACTGTGCTAGCACCAGGCAGTACTTATACCACCCTTAAAACCCTCATTTTCTGCTTCCCAGTTGGTTATAGGAGAAACCCTGGAATCGTGAGGCTGTAGAGTTATAAGAAAAGTTGATTCAGTTCAGAATCAACATTGTGTGTGGCTGGGCAGTGTATAAGAGGGGCAGGGGCGAGTAAGGATGTCCCTGTTGCTGTCTTCAAAGATTTCTGTCTTCTACTAGTGCAGCAGGAGATGCATTAAGCCTCCCAGCTTGTCTCCTCAGCACCTGTCCCTAAAGCAAGCATGCTGGGAATGGTAAACAGCTTCCTCTCCCATCTCCCAATCATCTCACTCATTTTCTCTTAGGCTCTGTAATGCAACACAGCGGCTGCTGGTGGGTTCTTTTTTTTTTTTTTTTTTGAGACGGAGTCTTTCTCTGTCGCCCAGGCTGGAGTGCAGTGGCGCAATCTCGGCTCACTGCAAGCTCCACCTCCTGGGTTCACGCCATTCTCCTGCCTCAGCCTCCCGAGTAGCTGAGACTACAGGCACCCGCCACCGCGCCCAGCTAATTTTTTGTATTTTTAGTAGAGATGGGGTTTCACCGTGGTCTCAGTCTCCTGACCTTGTGATCCATCCGCCTCGGCCTCCCAAAGTGCTGGTGGGTTCTTAAGCTAAAAGTGAGGGCCCTCCTGAGAAACCAGGCTGTGGCCCACCCCATTAAGACTCTCTGACTCAGAACAATAACTGAGCAGCAAGAGAGCTTTTCCCCCTTCCACTAGCTCGGAAAGTTTTGCCCTATTCGACCCATGACCATTCTGATTACTCTGTGCTTTCTTGTCCCCTCTAGATGTTCGACTGGATAAGCCACAACAAGGAGTTATTCCTACAGAGCCACACGGAGATCGGAGTCAGCTACCAGTACGCCCTCGACCTCCAGACGCAGCACAATCACTTTGCCATGAACTCTATGGTGAGCTGAGGGGCTGTTCTCAGGGCTGCCTCTGGGAGTGGGAGAGTGGGGAGAAGGGGGAGGAGGGACAGAAACAGACTTTCCACTCAAGGAAGAACTGTGAACATGCGGACCCTTTGGTATTCCATTTGTTGGAATGAGGATGAGTGCAGGGCATGTGGCCAGCCAGCTGTTCCTGCAGCAGATTATGCCTCCAGATCCTGCTTTACACAGTGAAAGAATGTGCCGGGGGTTGTAGGAGGCATTGGCTCAGCTCAAGTCTAGAAGGGCGAGTTCCACCAGTTCCACTTCACTGACTTAGCCAACGTTTTTTTGTCCCCAGCATGTGTGAGTCACTGAGCTGGAATGGTGAGGGGCCTCAAGCTGTGGCACATTGGAAATGGCTGAGTGACCTGGGGCTGTTTAGACTGGGGAAGAGAAACCCTAAGGAACATGCGATTGCTGCCTTCAAATATTTAAAGGACTGCCTTAAAGAGAAAAGAGTAGAATTGCTTTATGTTTGTTTAGAAGGCAGAAATGTTCAGGGAATGGCAGTTTGAGGGGGAGGCAGGACATGGCTCAGAGCGGGAGGTGGGGTGGGATGCAGTGGAGGATAGTGAGCTCTCCATGATGGGCAGTGTTCAGGCAGATGCTGAACACTCAGAGAGGGATGTTTGCTAACTGTGTGGCCAGATAGAACTTACTGTACCTCTCTATGCTTCAGTTTCCTTATATATAAAATGGAAATAATAATAGCTACTATATAAGGTTGTTGCAAGGATTTCATGTGTTAACTGTAAAACAATGAGAACGGCGCCTGGCACATAGTAAGTCATCAATAAACGCTGGTGTTATGATAATGATAAGGATGGAGGAGTTCAGTCCATACGACCGCTCTTATTCTTCATAAACCTAACACTTACGGATATATTTTTGTTTCCCTGCATGGTTACCCTTTATTTCAAAATTGTGTCTGCTCCTTGAAGCCACTATATTTCAAACTCCTGCAGCCTAAGAATGTCTGTCTCCTCCACCAGCTCTTCCTACTTGAATTATTGGTCCAGAAGACTAGCTCCACCCTTCCTCATATATCTGAAAAACAAAGACAGCTTATCATTGTAGCTGATGATGTTGGGAGTGAAGCAAGTGTTAGAAAAATAGAAACAAGGTGAATCACAGAGGCCAAGAAGGAAGAGAATTTCATTTTCTACCAGGCTCTTTTAAATATGCTATGCACTGGAATTAACACACTGGAGAAGAAATATTTTAGGTTGGTGCAAAAGTAATTGCGCTTTTGCCATTACTTTTAATTAAATAATTCTGGCCTCAAGTTGTTCAATGTCTAACTAGAGAAAGAAAACTTAGACAATCATGGTGCAGCTTGATATGTGCAGTGATAGGGATATGCTGAGTTAACTAAGAACCTTAAAATCTCAGTGGTTGAAAACAACAGAGGTTTGTTTATTGTTCCTACCACACACCCATCCCTAGCTTGTAGGAGCTCTGCTTATCATAGCCACCCAGGGAGACCTGGGCTGATGGTATAGCCACCAGTTCAGATCTGCCAGCTCAGATGCTACCAGCCTTGCCAGACGAAGCATGTACCCAAGGACACATACTGGACACACGCTGGCTCTGAAACCTTCCAACTAGAAGTGACACATTTGCTCACATTCCATTGGCCAACGCCAATCACAGAACCACGTCTAATTTGAAGTGGCTGGGGACATCGTGCAGTCCTATCACATGCTGGGAAGGAGAGAGCAGGATGGTTGTGAACAGCTCTAATGACTAGCACACTGAAGGATGTTAGGTAGAGGTGAACATCATGAGACTTGCATAGAAAGATCACTCTGGCTGTGTTGATGAAGGTTGTGAGACCAGGCAGATGAAGGTTGTGAGACCAGGCAGGGAAATCATCAACACTGATTGTGTTATCAGTCTTGGCCACAACACAGTCTTGTGTCTTCATCTAAATGTAAAGACTCATTCTCTTCCCACTGGTCTTCTGTAGATATATCTCATTTCTGTCTCCCTTTAGTGTAGAGTAGCAAAGCAATTGATAACAGGTGATTAAGAACATGAACTCAAATCTAATCAAGTCTGAATATTTGTGTGCCTTGTAGATTTTCCCTGGTGAGTTTTACAAATTCTGTGCCAGAATTTTCACGTCACCCAACTGCCTAGCCCTAAGGCAGACAAACTCATTTTAATAAGAAACAAAGACAACCATAATTAGGGAGGTAAATCCACCACCAAGCCCCTAGAAACAGTGAACTTCAAAGTTAAATCAAAAGAGCCTTTGGTTTTGAATTATCTGTACAGCTGCTCTTCTCTGCTAGTATGGATAACTGAGAGTTAACAGCACATCAAAAACCTTTCTTCGGACAGATTTACTGTCTCCATTTTAAGGGAGGAAATTTACTGAAGGGAAGTATCTTCTGGAATTGGGAGAGAGAAGACATTTAGTATACAACAGCCAATTAGTGTGTCCCAGCCCATCTAGTAGCCTCCCACACTGTGAATGCATACAGCACTCAGAGGCCTCCTTGGCCTGATTAGGCTGGATCTCCTCTCTGGCTTCAGGGTGAGGGAAGGGAAATCCCAGGGTTTTTGGATCAAATTGCCTGCACGCCTGTGCTTGATAAACATGGCCTGGTGCCTTCGTTAAATGGGAGGTTTAAGGTTTGTTATTAAAAGAAGCTTCCTGCAAAGAGGGATGTCAGCATCCCAAGCAGGTGAAAGGAGGGAATTACAGATTCCTTTTCTCTGGCCTGGGTGATGAATGTTGCTGCCAAGAAACAAATGTATGCAAGTGGCTACTGCTCGAGCTCAGTGGCTACAGGAATGATCAGTTACTCAGGGGAAGTGGGAATGTGGATTGTTCCGTAAATTCACTGCAGCATTTCTGTTCTTGGAAATTATACACACACATACACATATACCCACACATCTGTTCCTGTAAATGTAAATATAGCATACTTTGTTTTAGGCTGCAGGTAAGTCTTCTGGTATTGAATCTTGTTTTACCACACGGAAATAGGCCAACGGTTCCTTATGTTTCGGGTAGTGCACAGATCCCTTTGAAACCAAATGAAGGTTGTGAATCTTCTCTTCAGAGAAATGTATGCATGAACACATTTTTCAAGACATCAACCTCCCCAACTTAAGGTTCTAAGAACCTTATCACTTCTTTATTCACTCATTTAACAAATAATTAAAGATCAGACATTGTATTGGATACTGAGCATATAGTGGTGAACAAGACAGAGATGATTATGTCTCATGGAGAGTCCAGCGGGGAGACAGATGTTAAGTATATAATCTCACAAATAAATATATAATTACAAACTAATAAGTCTTTTGTTGGAAAAGGAAGGGATGTTATGACAGAGTTTAAGAAAAGGGCCCAATTTAGATGGGGGGTGGTCAGGTCAGGTACATTTTTCAATCAATAATCTGCATTGACTTAATGATGATTGTTCATTCATTGGTAGAAATTAATGGCCTGTGAATTGAAGTAACTCTATAATGTACCAAAGAACTTATAATTTAAAGAAGTCCTAGGTATATCATTTTGTGACTGAAAATGATCAACTAATAACTTACCTGTTCAGTTTTATTTTCACATGTCAAGTTTTTATACATTGGTTGAAGACCCAATTCCAGCAAAGGTGACCATTACTGAGAGTATTAATTTGCTAGGGCTGCCATAAAAATGTCATGGACTGGGTGGTTTGAGCAACAGAAATTTATTTACTCACAGTTCTGGAATCTAAAAGTTCAAGATCAAGGTGATGGCAGGTTTAGTTTCTCTTGAGGCCTCTCTTCTTGGCTTGCAGATGGCTACCTTCTCACTGTGCTGCCAGGTGGCCTTTTCTCTGTGAGCACACACCCCTGGTATCTCTCTGTATGTCTTAACCTCCTCTTTTTATATAAAGATACCACTCAGATTGGATTAGATCCCACCCTAATGGCCTCATTTTAACTTAATTACCTCTTTAAACACCCTGTCTCCACATGCGATCACTTTTTATCGTACTTGGGTGTTAGAGCTTCAACATATAAATTTTGGGGCTCTGCAGTTCAATCTGTAATACAAAGAAATAATTGCATATTATTAAATCACAGAAGAAAAATCAGAAATTTTCTAAATTTTATCTATGAATTGGTACCAGGAGAGGCCATCAATTGTTAACATACCAAGAGTGTGGGAGTGATACCCTACTAAATATAGTATATAAATAAAATGAAAAAAAGTTAAAATTGGTTGATCTTTACATTTTTTGTCATAACATGTGTTTTTGAATTTCCCACTGGGAAATCCAGTTCTTTTGATCTTCAATTAATAATGATAATAATAACAACAACCCACCTACTAAACCCAGTAGGAAAATATTCTGGTGCTTCTTACAGTGCCTCAGACAACCAGCTTTCCTGAGCTCTCTGGGGTCTCCCTCTTTTTAAATTCTGCCTTCTGCTGTGGAAGCCTTTTGCATAAATTTTCTTTCCCCTGAGTGTGGCCGTCTACTCTGATGGGAGTATGGGCAGATGGAAGGGAAGTTGGGTGGTAATATGCACAGAACAGTCATCTAGCCATCTATGCTCTCGTTCTTCATGAGACTCGCAGGAGTACATGCAAACATAGCACAATCTTATTTACAATTTTAATTAGCTGGTTCTTTGGGAAAAATAAATTGCTAATGGCTTCTGTCTAGAGTTTTAAAATATGAAATGATATTCATTTTCTATTATGACTGTGAGGATTCACCGTAGTGATAACAATGTGCAGCTGGGCGGGGGAGTCTTTCTGCTGCAGCATACTTGATAGCTGTTTTAATCCTATTAATTCGCTTGCCAAAGGCACATATTGCCACTTGATGGTGTGCAAATCAGACCAGTTGCAGAAAAAAACTACAGTGTTCTCTCTTTGTTTTGAGGGAAGGTTACAAATGACAGCATCAAGGAAAAAATCAGATCTGGTATGAGAAAAATCAAGAGTCTGAGGCAGGCAGGTGGTC